TCCGTAGTAGACCTATATTTTGCTCTGGCACAAAGCCAGTAATTGATTGGTAGAAATGGAAAGAAAATCACTAGCTCCTGTTAGCTGTACCACAACAATCTACAATTATTTGTATTGCCAAAATCTACTCCCCTACCCCAAAAAAAAGCAGACCAACAGACAGACAGCTGACCCACATGGTTGCTATTTGCACGTTGTTTAAATGAACCTGTTCTAAGTCGACGATGCCAAAACATCATGCCCGGGGACAGTGGGCACTGGCGCTGACAGTCTCCCTCTGCCTGAACTGCACACTAGAGCAGCAGCATTCCCTAGATCCTGGCTACCGTCTGTGTCTGGCACAAGGCTGATTAAGAAAATGGGTGCTCAATAAATATTTGCCAACTGATCACCCAGAGTAGATATTTATCTAACATACACCTCATAGCATACACAAATGCTAAATGTTTACACCTTAAGAAATAATTGTTGCTGCCCACTACAAGCTTTTAAACCACAGCTCATTTTTTCTGTGCCCTCTGTGAAATCCAGTGTTAAAGTACATAACTGATCATATAAAGATGAAACTATGTATCAGCATCAGTAGCAGCTAAAATACAATTCCAATATTTTACACACTAAAAAAAAGCCTGTTCACAAGAAATACTAACCAGGACCTACAAAGCATCCCTTTGCAGCTGCTCTAAAATATAATTAAGGGGCCAATGATCCTAATTTGGGAATTTTTCCATGTACCAAGAATTTCTGCCATTTTGCAAGGGACTATAAATTAAAAAAAAAAATGATGGGGAAAGCACAAATTTGGGGCTTAGAACACTAGAAAAAGGACACGGCGTCATGTGGATTGGTTGTTTGTCCTGGGGTGGGGTGGTGGGGTGCCCCAGAACTTAAAATGCAAATAAAAATATTATCATTGTAAATGATTTTTACTAACAGTAGAAAGATAAAATCCATAATTGTAAAAAGAGGCTAAAAATGCAAAGAGAAAAATAAGGGAAAAATGATGACACTAACAGTTCATTTCCATTCCCTATTATCTAACAAAGCCCCAAGGTTCTCTCAACAAAGTAGCCCAAACTTTTAAGTAGAAAGGTTTCGAAAAGCTGCTTTTAAACGTTTAATGACATAACTGACAATAAAATAACTAACCTACAAAACACACATTTCTAAATAGACAAAACCTGAGTCAGCTACCCCAATGTTAGAATCTGGAGGAAGAAATAAACGTTAAAAAAAAACAAACAAAAAAACACATTATCTTGGAGGAAGAATTTACTAGTAAAATATGAAGGGGCAAGATTAATGGTTAAAAAAGTTAAGATTTTATATTACTTACAATACACACTAATAACAATTTTAAAGTTGGACATGAAGAAAAGGAAGAAAATATATATTTTTTTATTTCAGTTTGGGAAGATAAAAACGTTCTGGAACGGAGGGGGTGATGGCTGCACAATAACATGAATGTACTCAATGTCACTGTGCACCTAAAAATGGTTAAAATGGTAAATTTTATGTTATATATTTTTACAATAGAAAAATATGTATATGTAATTTTTTAGCATCTCATATTTTAAAAAATATATATGGCCTAGGATTTTCTTCTGGATTTCATCAAATATGGCTTCCCTTTCCAGAGTCACCTAATAAGGAATGAGGTCTTGTGCAGTTCTCAAGTTTCATCTTTCATCAAGGCCCAAACGAGACACTGAGGAGTAAGCACATCCTACTGAGGATGGTTAGCAGAGGCCAAATCTAGTTCAATTCGAAAGGACCATGCTGCTATGACAGATCTATTCCAGATTCTGCTGCTATTTAGCTCAGAATGTCTACTGGTAAGTCAGATATGCTTAAGATTCTAGGGCTTTAGTCTCTTTCCTAGCAATAAATATCATTCAAGAAACAAATTAATTTCATCATTAGTTCATCTGTCAAACTCAGCAGCCTTGTAATATTTGTGGCACTGATCCATTCAGAAGTGGGTTTGAAAAATGCCTGTTGGATTCTATTGAAATAAGTAAATCCAAGGAAATAGTCGTCTTAGAATTACTCCAAGTTAGACTTTGAAAATGTTTGCTGAAAATATTTGCTGGAAATACAGTTTTACTTTGACAAATTCACTCAGTCACACAATTAATGTGAACTGTTAAAACTACGATAATCAACAATTACATTCATTTTGATGTTAACATAAGGCAAAATAAGTGGACATTTAATGATATCTAGGTAATGATACCTAAATCATTTTCTTTCCATCAAATTTCTAAATGAAAAAGTCAGTAAAGTAGATCAAGTTTTTAGATCAAAATTCATTCAATCACCCAATTATACCAAAAAGGGACACTTAGCCTTGAATAAATAGCCTCCAAACTGAAAAAAGCAATACTGCATAATAGACTTTCATTTATGATACATAAATACACCGTTGGTGGATGAGCAGTTTTGCCTGGTACTTCCCTCCCACACCACAGGGAACTAGGACTTGGGCTTACTCAGCCTCAAGCATGCATACACAGTAAGAGCGTGGCTCTGCTTTACATATCCACAGAGAATCTGCAGTCTCCTGAGAAAGAAAGGACACTTCTGGAAAGGCGCACAACCAAAAACTACCCAATTCCAAAAAGGCCTAGGACATGGATACGGCCCCTGAAGTACAAAAAGCATTGTAAAATGTCATAAAATGTTCATAAATGCATGTTCAAAATCAAAATGTTGCCAAAAAAAAAATACTGGAGTAAGTTTTATTAATATTCATTTTGAACCTCCATAAATCTGTTGCTTTAAGTAACACATGACAGTTCTTTCAAGCATAAATATAAGCCTCAAATTTACAAATCTACACTGTCCAAAATGAAAGTGACACAAGTGAAATATTAGTTCCTTCTCCACCAGAACAGATCAAAGCACACGGATCAGTGTGCTGAGCAGTGTCGGTCTAGTGCAGTGAGAAAAGCCTCTATTACTTAGGACACTGAGAAAAAGCTAACATAGTTTCCTATGCATCCAAAATTCACACCTCCAAATCAGTTTTCAAAATAAACAGCAAAATGTCATAGACCTCCCAACAAATTTCAAATCAAACCACTCACTTCCTAGGAGAGGACAAGGTTAAATAAATGAAATGATTATCTTTTCAGTTTGCCTGTCATATTGATATTTATCCTAGGGAAATAAGTAAGGTCCTCTTACATCAGAAGTCATTTTCTTTAGATACACCCAGCCCCAAATTATAAAGTAATGAAGTCCATTAATAAGGAAATAGAACTGAAAACTCAACCCCATTCTATTACACCTGTCTTTTTAAAAATGTCTGTGTCTAATAAAATTACCAAATGAGTTTATATTGAGCCTTCCTCCACATTGCCTTACATTTCTAAAAGTGGTTCTCAAACCAGAATTAATGCCTTTTTTATACCAAAGTGAAGACGTTATTCTCTAAAGTCGAATGAAGGAACACGATATTTAGAAAGTAGGCACACACTTCTGATACTATATGACACTGGGGAAAATGGAACGAGTATAAAAAGCCTTGCCAAAAATTCTTTCCTAAATATAGATAAAAAACAAAACCAAAGAAAAAAGAGAGATTAAAGTTCCTCATTACAGACTCAAAGTAAGAATATGTTGTTTCCTGGAATATACTTATCGATTTTGTGTTAACACAACCATAAATTTAAGTGATAGTTGTCTTAAACAGTAGTTGCCATTAAAAAAAAGAAAAAAGGAAAAAAACTGTCAAAGTAAGTACACAGAAATCGGGATCTCTAATGAAAAGTTTAAACCATGCATAATTGCATCCCAAATAACCTAGGAAAAAAGAAAATTACACATTTTTGTTATATTTTGTTTTTTAAATGAGGCCTTTTCTATGAACCACAGCTGCCAATTCCCCATCTTCTAACCATAGAGCAGCCAGCCAGCCATACCTCAGCAAATATATAAATTTAGGCCACAAAAATGTCTTTACAACATTGAAAATATCATATAGAGTAAGATTTCATTGAGAGGTAAAATGGGGAGTCATGTTATGCTATAATGTATCTTATACAAATTTATAGTAATCAGGAACCAGTCTTTAACTGCCTGCTTTGTAAGCCAACTAATCACTTTTTTTAAAGGTAAATAAGGTTCTTTCTTTTTTATTACATTGTATTATATTCTATAAAACTAAAGTTAAAATAGCATTAATAGAATTGAGCACTGAATGTAGACATTATAAAATCTTAATTATGTGAGCAGAGTATTGCTTTTGAGACTACTCTATCTGAATACTTTCTCTCACAAAAACCCAAAACTGTATCATAAAATGGTTTATTTTACTTTTTAAAAAGACCCCCCCACAACATATGCATATGTTTTGCCCCTAAATACAAAAATATTGGCTACCCAATATAAACCATTCCCCAAAATCAAAAATGAAACTAAATGTGTTAAAAGCCACAAGAAAATTTCATCATTTAACAACGTGATTTAACAGCATTTTATGACCTATAGTTATGGAGTAATTTAATATTTTGGACAAATGACTGTTTCTTAGTACAATTACCATAACAAATACTACATAATACTTGTGTTCCAAGATGAAGAAATGTAAACACACACACACACACACACACACACACACTCCACATGTTATACAGCAAGGTACCTAAAAGAAATCTGTGAATCTAGGTCATGTGCCTGTCATTTTTCTTCCCCCTCAAAAATAAGAAAGCTATTCCCAAGGGTCACACTGAGGACATAATGGATTCATTCTCATTCATTCCAAGAAAACAAAATACTTAAAACGATTGGTACCATTAAGAAATAATACTCTCAAGTAACACGGAGCTGTATCTGTCTCTATCCTTTCGTTTCCAGTTTATAAAGATGTGAATGTTACACTACCCCTTTAAAAGCAAGCTGACAAAGCAAATCTTTTTAAAATTACGTGGATTTATTTACACAAGGTTTCTCTATAATGTTTTCACCTGTGCGAATCAAAAATAAAAACTGAAATTTCAAGTTTCCTATCAAGAATAAGAAAATATATTATCACTAAAAGTAAAACTCCACTAACTAAAGGTTTGAAAGCAGTGCACACTAACGTTCTTAGCCTGGGCTCCACATGACTGTTAAATTCAGTCCTTCATTCACTCAGACAAGTCTTTCCTTTAAGATGATTATTAAAATACACCTTACTAAACAAATAAGCTGAGCAAAAACATGTATTACAACCATTGTTATTCCTTTCTAATGGATTAAAATTTAAAAAATTTTCATAGCATTAAACTGTCTATGAAAGATAAATTATTTGAAAGAAACACACCCAGCACAACCTACATGTAATATAGTTTCCCTAATTCACTGTGGAAGCAGTTCAAATAAGGCTCACATTAGCTAATCCAACATAATAATCAAGCAGGGAAAAAAACATTCTTGGGACATTTCTGTATTCTCCCATTCAGAAGCAAATATAAAATGACTTTTAGTATTTTACAAGAATATCTATTTTTTCCTTTTAACTAATTGCTGTCTGCAAACATCAGTTTTCTCGCTTCATGTTTTTTTAAGTGTCAATTCTAACTAAAAAACTTCATCCATAAACATCTTAAAACGGTCAAAATCGTCAAAAACACAAATTACCAGAAATACAGCTTGAATCTTGTTATAAAGCTAATTAAATTTCACTAAAAGGTATTGTATATCAGAATCTTGAAATTTTTAATAGTATAACTTAAATCTACATTAAACTGTGTGATGACTTAATTTCTTTTCACAGTTTAACTTATAAAGGGTACTTTTATAAAAGCTTAACTAATCTAAAAACTGGTCAAAATGCTTGGTTGAATTAGTTTTCAACTGCCATATCCTCACCCTGCAATTAAAGACCATGACACATGCAATGCCCACGTTAGAGCCGTCAAAGATCTGAATTTTGCAAAGCCCAACATTGGACACCAGCATAATGTTTTTATGTATTTAATCCTCTTATTAATAAATGCGATTCATAATAATTTAAGCTCTAAATAATGTTCAACCTTACGTCTGCTTGTAATAGAGCTCAGTTATTATTTGTGGCAAGAATTTTTGTGACTGTACTGCTCAGCACTTCTATTTACATCAGCAGTGCTAAATGCCCAATGGTGAGAGGGGAGCCAATCAGATGGCAGATTAGATGTCAACTCAGAGGCAGCTGTCTGGAGACTATTACAGCCAGTTTACCTCCACAATTCAAATTCCAAACCTTGCAAAGGAGATCAAGTCAGTCTTTAGGCTCAGCCTACCAGCAAGAAACAGCAAGAGTGCAGGACACTTCTAGTTACGCTGTGGGACTCGGGTGACAACAAATTAAAGAAAATCCAAATAAATCCAATCCAAAAAGATCAATTTTCACTGGTCTGCTATTTTCCTGGACTTGCTGAATAAAATGTATGCCCAATCCACGATCAAAATAAGTTCAACGTAACCGGACTGTGTTCCTTTAACACAGCCTATCCGTTGAAGGTGACTCCTTTCGAGCAGCCAGTAAGCCAAATAATGGATTTCCTGGCTATTCTTAGGAACGAATCGATAGATTTTAGAAGATCTTTACCTCGCATCGTTGCCTATTTGGGCATTATTTTTACTAGTAAACATTCCAACTCGAAGCCCGCATCGAATCTCTCTGAAAGGCTGGGCATAACTACGAAAGGCACACTCGATGGCCACAAAGCTGACCTATCCTTCCTGCCTTCACCTTGGGGGCCGAGAGGGAACGTGGAGTGGCTGGCGTGGGACCCAGTTCCTCGTTCCCCTCCCGGGGAAAGCTTCCTGCTGTCGCTGCCCGAGAAGACGGG